TCATCAGTTTGACCCTTGGTGGGTGGATGGGATAATCTGGAGGACAGCGAAACAGGAACAAGAAGAAACCCCCTTCATAAGGCGTGTCAAATGGGCCTGTGATCAATGCATGAATCTGGAAAACAAAAGCCCGTCTTGCGCACCACTTCAACACTGTGCAGCACCATCCAATCCTCCACGCAGGCGAGCGAGGGCAAGAAACCTCCACCCCGGCAGCAGCACGGAGGGAGGCAGCATCTTCCACAAGCACAGGCCCCGTGCAGGCCACGCTTCCCCCTCCCTCCTTCCCTCTGCTCCCCTTCTCCTCCCGCTGCCGCGCTTCCCTCCCCGCTGCCGCGCTCCACGTGCAAAGCAGGTTTCCAATGGGGAGGCTTGGCCAGAGGCCACAGGAGCTGCTTCCAGGGTGTCCAAAGCAGCCTGAATCCCAGTCCAGGTGCTTCAAGATTGCAAATATGCAGGAAAAGGAATTTCACTCGGTTTAGAACAGAGGTAAAAGCACCCCCACTCCCTGAATTCCTGCCAAAACGACAGCATTCCCCAATTTGATGGTCTCGCGCTCGTTTGGTCTTCTTGAAGCCAATCAGTGCATTTCCTCTGCCAGGATCCAAAATTAAGACCCTATTCTCTCCATGCTAATTACCCTCAGAGATCCCAATTGCACAGCAGGAACTCTCGACTCCCTTCAGGCTATTAAGGAAGCTTCTTCCCCAAGTGATCCAAGCAGCCTCCTTCCGTGATGCTCCCACCTCGCCAGGGTTTCAGCTGGAAGCCCCAGGGCCGGTGTCCTACAAACCCACACCTCTGCTGAAGGCCGTTTTGGCACATCCAGCTGCACACTGGCAGGGAAGGCAGCGTAAGGAGGAGCTGGCTCTGCACAGACGCTCCCTTGGTGCTGCCTCCAAACCCAAAGGGCCCCAAGTCAGGCAGGTGCTTCCAGGTAGGAATTTGGAGGAACCCTTTGTGTGCAGCAGAGGAAAAGCAAAGCCACCCCCCTGACATGCACACAACCAACACTGCCTGGAGAAGGGGCAGCACCAGCCAAGAGATACAGGGGATCAGGAACACCGTTGGAGCAGCCTCTGCCCCCCCGCTCGCTGCTGGAATAACCGGGAATTCACACTCCTGGAAAAGGCCGAGAGCCAGGATGGAAGCAGGGCAGGAGAGGCCATAGCCCTGCCTGGGTCCCTGGAGAGCAGCTCTGCGACGGGAGAGGCTGCACAGGGCAGACCTGGTACCCGTGGGACCCCAGCAGGACAGCTCCAGGGACACATCCCCGCCAGCTCGCACGGCTCAACACCACAGGCAGGTCAGGGATGCTCCAGCACTGCCTGCTGCTGGGGGATGTTTCTCATTCCCAGCTTCTCTGAGAAGCCCCCCATGGCCAAGAGCCTTCCACAGAGCTCCCTCTTCCTTGAGCTGCTCTATTGACTGTTTTCAAGCATCAACAGGATGAAATGAGCTGGAGCAGCACCCCACTGGTTCACAGGGCCACTAAAGCAGAGCTGGCTCCATCTGTGGAAGCTCCTCAGGTCCCTAGGATGGGATCTCCCCCCAGTTTCCTTGAGAGCCTCCTCCCCTTTTAAATCCAGCCCATCTCAATGTCACCAGGAAGACCGGAGCCTCCTCATGCTCCTGTGAGACTCCCCCTGGCTCCTCTCATCACATTAAGGGAACGCTCCATGCGGGCAACCCCTTAGAGCAGGCATCAACAGCAACGTACAGAGAAGGGCAAAGCTGAACCAGCTCCAAATCTTCTCTTACCTTGGTCATGTCCTGGGGATCGGGCACAACAAACATTCCCGGCGGCGGCTCCTTGTAAATGGACATGATATCCCTGAAGAAAGGAAAGAGGAGTTAGGCAAGATCTCCCTTGGCCTTCATCAGCCCTCGAGGCCCTGAATGTTCTGGATGGCAGGGATGCAAAGGGATGCGCTCTGAAGATGGAAACCTGCAGAGAGGCAGGAACTGCTCTTTGGCCTCTGCCTGGTTTCTGGCTGAGCTGCTTCGAGTCGCCCCTCAAAAGAAGTTGAGGAATGTCCCGAGCACAAGCAGCATTCCAATGGAGCAAGGTGGGAGGCACCAGACTGACTAACGGCTGCCTGCTGTTCAGCTCAGCACACACCTCACCCGTAACCTCCCCTAAAGCACTGCTCCGAGGGGAGGTTTGTTGGTTAAAGGAAGACCTTCCCCTCCCTTTGCTTTCCCTCTCTTTACAGGATCCCTTTCCTACCCCCTGTTCATTCGGTGTCCCCAAACATGCCATGGGTCAACAGCCTTTGAGATGCTCCTGCTCTGAGAAGCAGGGCTTCAACGTGACAGTGGGCTCAGGAGCAGTTGGGATGCACGTGCACACACACAGAGCTTCAGCCCCACGGCCTTGTCCCTCGAGGAGCTCAGACCAAGTGAATGAAGAACAATGAATCCTCTACAGCTCTGCTCCGTTCACAATCACCCATCACCTCCATCACCCTCATCGTCCTCCCACAGTCAGAGCTCCAGTGAGCTCCGGAGCAAGCTCCCACTCGACCTTCTCATTGGGAAGCAACCAGAGCTTGGAAAGGTTTCCAGGTAAGAACAAGGGAGAGCAAGGGGGAGCCTCCCCTTCCTGCCACCGTTACAGGGTGTTTGCATTGGAAACCGCCCCACTGCCCGCTGCTGCCTTTGGAAGGCGTTATGCAAGCCCCAGAACGAGGATGAGCGAGAGCCTGGAGGCAGGGATCCTTGCTCCAAAGGAAGAGGAAGGACTCTTTGAACCAGCGCCAGCGTTTCAACAATCCCCGGCCGTGTTCAAGGCCAGGTTGAACACAGCCTTGGGTGACCTGGTTCAGCGGGAGGTGCCCCTGCCCATGGCAGGGGTGGAACTGGGTGCTCTTCAGCTCCTTTCCAGCCCCAGCTACTCTTTGCTTCTGTGCTGCTTGTTCTAGCAGCGGTTCTCGACGCACCGGCTTCAACCACCCAAGCAAAGAGGCAGGGCAGGCAAACGGGTGGGCCCGGCAGGCAGGAGCACTGCTAAGGGCAGGTTTAGCACCAACACCTCGTGTTGATAGGGACTGGGCAGCTCTCCCCCGCCCCAACAGCGCCTCCGAGCTGATCCCGGAGGCCGGACTGGAGCCCTGCACTGAGCTCTGCCGCCCAGCGCCCCTCAGCAGCGGGCACGGAAGAAGGGGAAGGAGCCCCCCCCCGGATGCGGGCTCTGGGCAGGGCGAGGCGGGAGGCTCCATCCTCCCGCCGGCCACCGGGGCAAGGCGCATCCCGGGGCTCGATGGACCGGGGGCTGCCCCAGGAGAGCCGCGGGATAACGGCAGAGACCGGGGCCTGGCCCCAGCTCCCCAAGGCCGCCGGTGCGGGGCCGGTGAGGCCCAGCGGGCAGCTACCGCCGGGAGGGTTCCGGCCGTGAGCCCACCGTGTCCCGTCCCGTCCTTTCCCCCCCGCCACAGCGGGGGTCGCGGCCCTCCCCGGCCGTACCAGGAGCCCCGGGGCCCGGCTCTCACCGCTTGATCCGCAGCAGGCAGGCCGCGCTGGGCCGCTCGCTGTCCCAGTCGCCGCTCACCGTAGGGTCCCAGAAGGCGGAGTGCGTGAGGAGCGCGGCCCCCGCGGCCGCCGCCGCCGCCGCGATGGGGGCCCCGCCGCTGCCCGGGGCTGCGACAGCGCCCGTTGTGGCAGCGCCGAACCCCGCCGCCGCCCACAGCTCGGCGGGGATGAAGACACCGGGGCCGCCCGCGCCGCCGGCCGAGGCCCCGCCGCTGCCCGCCGCCGGCAGCACCGCGGCCGGGGCCGGGGCCGGGGCGGCCTCCTCGGCCGCCGGACTCTCCGCCATTCCGCGCCCGGCCTCGGCGACCGCCGCTTCCGGGCCTCCGCACCACCGAGTCCGCCGGCCAGAGCGGCGCCCGCCGCGCGCCTCCACCACCGACCGCCGGCCAGAGCGGCGCCGCCCCCTCACACCCCGCCCCGCGCCATCACTGAGCCGCCTCCGGTGCCAGAGCGCCTCCGCCACAGGGGGCAGAGCCTTCCGCAAGGCGTAGCGCGCCCTCTGCCGCCGCGGGGGTGTCCCGGGGGAGAGGCAGCGGGAACACGAGTTCGGGGCTTTTTGGGGTGGAAAACGGCCCTTTGGGGAGCGGCGGTGGGGGAGCCGGTACAGCGCGGGTTAACCCGCAGGGATGCAACGGCTCGGCACGGCCACAGGCAGGGGGGGAGTCTCTGTTTCAACCCTTACGTTGTCCTCGAGTCCCTTCTGCTCTGCCCAGGAGGGCTCAAGGAGACTTCAGGTCAGGTCCCTTCCCCACACTGCTCCCATTGAGCATCCCCGTGGAGATCACGGCTCCAGCGGCTCGGAGCACGCAGAGCACCCGCAGTGACCCAGGTAAGGCCCCAGGCTCCCCCAGCCCTGGGCACAAAGCCCGCGGTGGGTGTTCAGGTTCCCCCTGCCTCGTGCTGCAGAGGAACCACCCAGCAGGGGCTCGGCTGTAAAGCCGTGCCTTGAGGAGGGCCATGACCTTGAAGCCAGCTCCGCTGGGTGCCTGGAAGGGACATGGCAGCACAGCCCAGCCTGCTCCCTGCTAACACAGCCCTGCAACACCAGCACCGCTCCCAAGCACCCATCACCTCTCTGTGTTCTATCTTTCATGGCATGGACACTCTAAACAGTACATGGAACCCCCCTTTGTCAGCTCTGTATTGGCTCTGCAAGGGCAGTGCTCACTGGGGGAAGGTGTCCCTGCAGAGGGCTGGAACTGGATGAGCTTTAACATCCCTCCCAACCCCAACCAGGCTGCGGTTCTAGGATGTGTGAACGGCTCTGAGCTGTGCAAGGACATCTGTCAGCCAGGTTACTCCACATCCGTGGTCCTCCCCTCCCACCATCGTTCCATGTTAACTTCCTGCTTTACCAGTGAGTGACCCCACAGCTGGGATATTGCCCTCTCCAAGCAATTCCTCAACTCAGCCAAGGACTTCCCCGCGGCTGGAGAGGAACGTAAGGAAAAATCAAACACAGGCACCAGTTTATTTAGAGAAATCTTTTCTTTACTTGTCAGTCTGGAGCGCTGGGATGGAAGCAGGCTCGAACCGCAGAGTGATGGAAGCCACAGCCAGGATGAGTTGTCACATAGCGAAGAGGATCAGGAATGCCACCATCAAACAGAAGAGCCCCATGGCCTCGGACAGGGCAAAGCCCAGGATGGCGTAGGAGAAAAGCTGCTGCTTGAGGGATGGGTTCCTGAGCATCAGTACCAGGGGGATCAAAGCAGAGAGAGAAGGGAAACAAAACGAGATCCACAATGAGGAAAAGGAGTCCAGACAAGAGCCTCTGCCACATTGTGTTCACTGGGATTGTGTCACATAAGCAACAGATTTTGGAGCACAAAGCAGCTTATGGCAGACTGGCTGGAACAAGAAAGCCATGATTTCCCCCTAGCTTCAGTGGTACAGGCACGCTGAAGGCAAAAGGCTAGGGCCACCCACCCTGATGGTACCATGCAACAGCTCCTGCTAACGAGTGCTGCGCTTCCTCTGGAGGCAGGCAGAGCTCCACAGAGCAGCTGCGCCATTTATAAGGAATTATAGGGTGCATTCAAACAATTCAGGTGCTTTCTTCCACTATTTTAATAGCATAATGGATTATCATGACCATTTTCTATTCAAGAAGTGCTTCAGTTAACCTGCTTCCACACATGTAGAGCTGGATACGTATTCCAGAGAGACCTGGAATAGCTTTGGATGCAGTGCTGGCAGAAGGGGGTCACTTCAAGCCAGCCTGGTTCCCCTTCTCACCTGGCATAGCCAATGATCAAGCTGCCAAACACAGTCCCAATCCCTGCTCCTGAGCCGGCCACCCCGACCGTGGCAGCCCCGGCGCCGATGAACTTGGCGGCAGTGTCGATATCCCGGGAAGCGGCGCTGGTCTGGAAGTCACGGCGGGCGAGCAGCGGGGGGGACAGGCTGGGTGGCTGCGGGAGGCAGAACACACACACACACACACACATCAATGACACCTCTCACTGCACGGAAAGGGTCATTCAAACACGATCATTCTTGAAGGCAGAGCAAGAGCAGCCACACTTGCAAAGCCATCCCCAACCCGGGCTAGGAGTTACTGGCCACCCTCTGGATACACAGACTTATTCCTCCGCTGCAGGAGGAGGCATGGAGTACCACGGGCAGCGAGCACAGGGGTCCAGGACCTGATTTATGCACTGAGAACCTCACCTGTAGAGTCTGAAGCTCAGGCCTGCTGAAAACAGACACAGAAACTGGTCTGGCCAGAGCCCTGGAGCAGCACCGGAACTGCAGCGAAACACAGACAATGAGCTCCCATCACTGCATGTGTCCACACCACCCCTCAGGAAAGAGCACTTATTTCATGAAGAGCAGTCTAAGATGGTCTCAAACCATCCCACAGGACTAAAAAGCAAAGGGAAATGCAAACATAGAGCATTCCTCTTAGCCCGCTGGAATAAGTCCGTGAGCAGAACAACCCCAGACACATGCTGCAGCAGGGAAAGTGTCAGCCCTGCAGCTGCACCCGTCGACTTCCCAGCTCACACCTCAGAAGCAAGAGGTGCTTGAGCACCTCTGCTCCTTCTCCCTGGGAAGCCCCTGGGCCTGCAGCTCACTGCGTGTCCACCAGCACGGACGGCATCGCCCTCCGGTCCCCAGAGGTCACCTTGTTTCACCCACGGGTCCCCCCAGGGCAGCGCGTTCCATGGGGCAGCGCACAGGAACCCCCGCACCCGGGCCTCCCCTCTGAGTGCAAGACCCGCCTGCAGAGAGGCCGCTTACCACCGCCGGGGAGCCGAGGAGAGCCAGAGGAGCCTGCATTTTGCTTAACCTAAGACAAGTAAAGAAGAACGGGCGCTAAGAGGAACCGGGAACGCTGCTCCCGGCCACCCCCCCCACCCCTTCCCGGGGTGACCACAGCACATCCGCTGAGCGCCCGAGGCTGGCCCCTGCGGCCACCCGCGCCCGCTGACCCCCGCCGGGGCCCTCGCAGGGCAGACCCGGGGCTCCACGGCTCCGCTGCCCCCGGCAGGGCCGAGCCCCCCCGACTGCGGCTAAAGCCGCCCGAGCCCCGCCGCTCTCCGGCCCGCCCCGAGGGGCGCGGTGCAGCCTGTGCTGGCCCAGCGGGCGCGGGGAGACCCCGGCCCCGAGCGGCCCCGAGCGGCCCCGACCTGCACGGCTGCGCCCGGGGCTGCGGCGGCGGCCGCTCACCTTGCCGTGTCCCTCCCGCGTCCTCCGCGCTCATTGGCTGCCACCGCCCACGGCGCGCAGCATGCTGGGACAACATCCGCGCTCCTCATTGGCTATGACGGCGAAAGCACCGCCCACTATGCATCCGGGACAGCGGGATAGGGCCGGAGGGCAGTGCCGCTATGCGGGCTGCTATTGGCTGGTTATTTTCACTGTGTGCGTGCTGATTGGCTGGGGGCCCGAGGGGGTCTAAAGGGCCGTGAGCCGCCGCGGGAGCCCAGAGCTGGCCCCGGCCCCGGCTCCTTACCGGTAGCTTCGAGCGCCGGGGCCGGTCTGTCCCGCACAGAGCCCGGGCTCCGCCTTCCCCTGTGTCCCCCCGAGTACCGGTCTCCAGCCGCGCCTCCCGGTGAGTGGGGACGGGGACGGGCCCTGGAACGCCCCTCTCGGCCGCTGCCGCCCCACCGGGGCCCTGCGGAGGGACGGGGGCGGGGGCGGAGACGCTTTCACTTTCGTTTCTCGGCCGAAGGCAACGGGAGCGGCCCGGGGCTGCGGAGCCTCCGGTGTCCAACCGCGGCTTGAGGCTGGTCTCGTTTCCCTCAGCTGTTTGCACCGTGCCGACAGCTATGGCTGTTCCCTGCAGCAGACTCCATGGGGTTGCTGCATCCAGCCTCTTAGGGTTCTTTGCCTTGGGGCAGCCTGGGTCCTGTCCCACGGCGATGCTATAACAAGATTAAAGTGCTGGCCTTATCTCTGTTTGCTTCTGCATCTCGTGGCTCTCAAGAGCACCCTGGTATTTGGGAACACGAGGCACGGCAGGGTAGGGAAGCTTGGCACCAGCCAGGTAAAGACAGAGGCTTGGGTGAGCTGCACGCTGGTTCCTGTGCTTTACTGAGACCTACAAGTGCTGCTGCAGCCTGGGACGGCCTGGAGGATTGTGCCACATCCGTTGCCATGCTCTGCCCTACCCCCTGTAGGGTACTCAGCAGGGCTCGTGCATGGAGGCCCATGCAGGAGAGGGACTGCTGTGCCATGCTGGCAGCCTCAGCGCTAGGCACGGTGGCTGGGAAGTGATGGAGCCTTACATGTGTCTGCTAAAGAGGATCTGCAAGCTGCTGTGGATGCCAGGAGCAGCCTGGCCACAGTGGCAGGGACACCGTGGTGTGCGTATAGGGCAGTCTGGACCTCATTCCCAAGCCAAACCTCTTCGTACCTGTCACAGACACAATTATGTCTGCAGCATGAGATAATCCCTTTCTCCTTTCCTCTTCTAGGCATTCACAATGGAGATCTCTGAGGAGCCTCCCACTTCTGCTGTATTTATAGACAGCTGCCACTTCTCCCAGGTCATCTTTATCAACGTGGAGAAGTTTTATGTTCCTGGAGGAGACATAACCTGTTATTACACCCTCACGGAGAACATTGTTCCTCGGGGGAAGGACTGGGTGGGCATCTTCCGGGTAAGTGAATCCTGTGAAACCAGATGTGCCAAGGATGGGAAAGCAGCAGGAGGCAGAAACAAACAGCTCAGGCTTTGATGGAACAGGGTTGGGGGATTTTTTCTCACTAATAACCTTGTGTAATGGAACATCTGTGTTGTGCTTAGGGACAAAGGGCCAGACCTGCTGTAACCGAAGGCAAAATGACCTTTAAGGTGCCTTCCAACCCTAACCATTCCATAATTCTAGAATTATCCTTTCATGCATAGACCACAACTCTTAGAAGTCAGGATATCAATGCAAAAGTCCTCCCAGTAACTGATCTATGTGGCAATACAGTCCCATGACCACAGGAGAAACAGAAACTGTGTGCTGCCATGTAACAACGTTGCTGTTGCAGGTGGGATGGAAAACAACCCGGGAATATTACACATTCATGTGGGCTCCTCTGCCCAGTGACAGCCACAGAGACACCACCGCGCAGCAGCAGATCCAGTTCAAAGGTGAGGTGGCAGCGTGGGTCACTCGGGGAAGGTGAGTGCTCGTGCACATGGACTCCCACTTTGCTGCCTGTGTTTGGAATTAGAGTCTCTGTAGGACCACACTTTGGGAGGCTTATTTCAAATCCCGTCGTAGATCACAGCATTTTAAATCTGCTACGTTCTGCCATCCTGACCAAGTGATAGCTGTGTTCTTAGCACTGGCACAAGGAATTACTGACAGTGCTCAGACAATGCTGAACGCTGGGTGCTACATTACCAGCAATACTGAACTGGGGTGGCTCAGTCTTCTAGGGTCCCACTTTCTCTGCTATTTAGTTAAGAGACTTGACTAATGAGAAGCTGCATATGACGGGGTGGTTGTGTTTGTCTGAAGCTTGCTACCTACCACAAGATGATGAATACTATCAGTTCTGCTACATCGACCAGGACGGCATGGTCCGGGGAGCCAGCGTGCCTTTCCAGTTCAGAGTAGAGACTGAGGATGACATCCTGATGGTTACCCCCCAGGTCTGTAGCACCTCTTCCCCTGCTTTTTACTGCCTCTGCTTTTCTTGGCAGGTGCTCCCTGCTAACATGGGGTGATCTGCTGACTCAGCTGCCAAGCTAGAACTCACCAGACTTGGATTCTATTCTTGGCTTCGCTACTGATCCGTCACACTGATCTGGGCAGCCTTTGTTTCTCTGCCTGCCATTCATCACTTACGTTGTGAGCATTTTTGTAACACATAGTGTTTCAGGGCATTTTGAATGACTTTTAAATGAAAATGTCATTTTCATGGAAACAGCCTGCCATTAGGTGGGAGTAAGAGCATGCACATGGACAGTGACTGAAGTGCTGTGTAGCCAAGCACTCTGATTATGCAGTCCTGTGTGCAGCACTGTTAATGACTACACTGTACATGTGGTGCTAATCTAACAAACTGCAAAAAGCCCCAAAGCTCTGCCTTTGCTGGCTGCTGCAGGCACAGAAGACATTGAGCAACTCCAGAGATCAGGGGTAGAATGTGCTTAGTATTCAAAAATGAGGTTAATGGTAGCTTTGCACAGACTGGGGAGAGTGAAGCAGCCGTCTGGTCTGCACCAGCAGTGAAAGCAGAAGGAGGTACACGATATTCCCTTTTGTAGAGCTCATCTTTCTGTGCTCTTTGCACTGTGCTCTTTGCTTCTGTGATGAGCCAGCAACTCTTTTGCTTGCCAGGGACAACTGGAAGAGATTGAACTCCAAAACCAAAACCTGCATAAAGAAAATGAGAAGCTGAAAGCAAACTGTGCGAGTCTCCAGAAACAGAACAGCCATCTGCAGGAAGAGCTCAAGAAGACACAGGTAACCAAAATGTTAATGCAAGAAGTCAGAAGCTTTACGTCTGAAAGGTGAAGAGCGATTGAGTCGGGTCTTGTTCCACCATATGCTTCCAGGAAAGGTTTCTCCCATGTTTTCTGTTCAATCCTTTTCCACTCCACTGTGATAAGACAATAGTGATGAACAAGAGACATCTTCAGACACAGGAGACAAGAACACATGGGAAGGGGGGTGTTCAGAAACGATTGAAACGATTTGTAGGCTGTCCTGAAATCACATCATCATTATCTTTTTCCCCTTCAGTTTTGCTCAGGGCTTAATATAAATCAAACAGGGTGTGAAAGAGCAGTCAGGATGCAAAGGGGAGATCTTCCTCCCTCAGACAGGCTGCCTGGCAGTGTTGCATTGAAGGGGTTCTGCAGTTCCAGTGCAGAGCAGGACTATTGTCCATATACCTCCTGTTGACCTCACTGTGATTATTCAGGAGCTGCAGAATACCTTAGAGTCTCTAAGGAGCAACATGGAGAAACTGGAGCTGGAGCTGAATTTCCTGAGAAAGAAAAATACACATCTAAAGAGGCTGGATGATAGCAGAGGGGCAGAACTGCACCAGTAAGTGCATTTACAGCATAGCTCAAAACAGGGCATCACGTAAGCACCTTGCCTTTATGGCTTAGATTCCCCCAGGTGAAATGATGGTGTGTTTTGATTTGTTCTGAGTAGACTCAAAGAGCTAATTCAGAGTGTGACCTCTGACAAGGAACGCCTGGAAACCAGCCTGAAAACAACCCTGGATCACCTGGACCAGCTGCAGGTAACACCCCCAGAATTGCCTTCCTTTGCTTTGGTGAACTGCCTCTGATGGAACCAGTTTCCTTCTGAAGGAGAACTGAGCAATCCTGCACAGGCATTGGTGTATGAGTTTCTTTTTTGATGACATGGGTTCTTTAGGAAAAGGTCAACCTTTGGTGTGATTTGACCGCCAGGAAAGCTCAAGAAAGCTGTGTTCTGGAAGGGAAGGGTAGAGGGGCCTTCTTTCACTTTGCAGACCCATCACAGTTTCCTTGTGATGCTGGGGGTGACTTTATGTCTAACAAATCCAAGTTTATGGACAAAAGGCTTGCTTCTCTTAGGGAACCTCTGCAGACCTTTTAGAAGTAATCCACAGACCTCAGCACTGAAACTCACTCCCTGAAGCAATGAGAAGGATATAAAAGGGCAGCATGCTGTGGCATTATTTCTGCTGAAGAAACCATCATTAGCAGTGCCTGAGGCCATCACATCTTCCTTAGCCTGTTGTCCTGAGTGACCTTCTAAAGGTGCTTCTCTCTGTGTATCTGGTACCCAGGAAGCTTTTGGAAACTCTGCTCTCGCTTTGGCATTGAAAATTACATCCTGGAATAGATGCTGTGATTACCTCCGCTGTGAGCCCAAATGTTCAGGTTTCTTAAGAGTGATTCTTTGTGAATGACTGCAGAATCCCTAAGTACTCCAGCTGCTCTGGTGCAGTGATTTAATTCAAGAATCAGCTGCAAGATTCATTCTCAAGGATGTATTAGCTATCCACTGTCCAGGCAAGTCTCACAGCACCAGGAAACCTGCCAGGGTGGATGTTCCAGCTGTATGGGTTCTTTTCCTTCTTCAACCTCCCTCTTTATTTGAGCTGTCATATATCCCCTCCAGAGGTCATTTCACATGTTGTAATGAACATCCAGAGCATGAGTAGTGCCATGGAGATATCCTGGCTGACAAGCTATGGTGAGACTCCCATTGAAAGTGAAGTGCTGTTTGTTGGTAACAAAGGCAGCATGAGGCAGGTGGTATATGGCAGCCCCCGTGCTTGGAGCTGTCATCATTTCAGTTGTCAGTTTCCCATGATTTACCAACACTTTTCCTTCGTAGCAACAAAATGAGAACTTAAGGAAAGAACTGGAGGAGCAGAAGTGTTTGTTTCAGATTCTGCAGGAAAAAATGAAGGAAGCTGATGAGGAAAATCAGGTGAGAATTTGGCAGTCTTCTCCTGTATTGAGTGTGACAGTAACCTCTCAGTCCAGTGTTCAGTTCCTTTAACCCTTCTACCAAACAGATCACTTAACTGTGCTGCACATGGGCCATCACCTCCAGCCAGCCTGTCGGGCACTCTGCAGGCATGTACAACTGACTGTCTGGACTGGTTTCCTCGTGATAGCATGGGGATTCCAGAACCTCCTCATGTTAGCTTCATGCTGACACCACTGAAATAAATGGACTTAATCATAGAATCCCAGAGTGATTTGGGTTGGGACCTTAAAGCTCATCCAGTTCCAACCCCTGCCATGGGCAGGGACCCCTTCCACTGGAGCAGCTTGCTCCAAGCCCCTGTGTCCAACCTGGCCTTGAACACTGCCAGGGATGGGGCAGCCACAGCTTCTCTGGGCACCCTGTGCCAGCGCCTCAGCACCCTCATCCAGTCTAAGCAGTGACTGCTCAGTTGTGTTGCTTTCTCTGCATGTTTTCAGGATAGTCTTCTGTCTTGTAAAGTGTATTACTCTGTTGGGATCATCTTATCTGCCTTTCCAAGCAGGCCACAGAATAGATCTTTGCCCTTTCTTACCTCACTTGCCCATTCGGTCAAGCCTGACTAACGCTGAGCTATCTAAAAGAAGTTCAGAGCAATTTTGATTCTGATATAGGAAGCTCATTCTGTCCTTCTGTCCCTTTGCAGCAACTAAGGAAAGACAATGGCAGACTCCTGAGGCACCTCTCACAGGCAAGAGAGGCTTCTTCCTCCTCTGTTGCTTCCCAAGCTCCAGTTCAAGCTCCTGAAGTAGGAGGCCTTCTGTTTGGAAATCCATATTGTGGTGAGATTACTTGGCATTCTGTCTGGAACCGCAAATACACGGCTCTTAAAGCCTCAAGCCAATTACCCTCCCTCTCCAATTGAATGCTGTAGAAAAGCCATTATTAGCAGCACCTCTGCAGCTTTGCATGTGTGCAGATGACTTGCCAGCTGCAGAACGCTGCCAGGTGTTAAGAGCTGACTGAAGTAATCATCTGTCTGTTCATTTGCTGCCAAGAGAGACAACTATTGGGTAGTTTATTGAGCTGTGAGACAGCTAGTTCTGTGGCTAATGTCCAGCTTCCACAGTCCTAAATAGGGTTAGATCCAGAGCCACATCCTCATGTTTCAAGAATTCCTAGTTACCAGCACATTACATTGTTCATCATTTTGCTGTGCTGAAATAGTCTTCTTTTTCCAGCTGCAGGAGCAAACCTGGGGGCAGGAGCTGCAGACATAGTAAGTAAAGTGGACACGACTGGACGTGAACTAGTGGTTTATGGGCACAAAGTAGTGGTTTGAAATAACAGTCTCCAAGTTCATCTCTGTAGTCAATTGTCTACTTACTGCTTTAGCCCGGGTAGGATAGCAGGCAACCAAATGGAGCTACATGTGCTTAACATGTACAATCAGTAACACAGAATTACATGTATTAAGGACGAGAAGGGAAGCTGCTGACCTTAATCTTTAAGGATCAGCTCTGGCAGTATCTGATGTCAGAACAAGCAGCAGGCAGCTCCTGAATACCTTATTTCCTATTGGAAAAACTGATTTTATTTGCATTTCCTTTGTACTTCAGGCTTCCATAAAGAAATGCTACACGGTCAATGAAGTATGTCCTGAAGATACCTTAACAAGTCAGTACAAGGCCGAAATGCAGAGCCACCTTCTGAAGTGCCCATTCTGCAGTGAGACCTTTGAGAAGTCCAGTGACGAGATGTTGTTTGCCCATATGCTTTGTCATGTCCTGGAATAATTTGTGGATTTGTATCTGCTCTGTGATAGAGGACAAAATCACTGGATGGCTTAGTTCATGCTAAGATCACCCAGACAAGAGTGGGAATGCCACTAGTGCTGGCATTCTGAGCTTTTTGCTCCATGCAGCATGGGACAAACCCACAAATTGGGTCAGACATCTGCATCCTGAAACTGAATCACCATCCTCAAACTCAAGTCTCCTGCCTTGAGCAAAGTTAAACAACTTACAGATCTTATTGTTACTAATTTAGGTCCCAGTTCTGTAGAACAGGATTTGTCACCTAACAGTTTATTCAGGTTGGAATGGGATGTAGTACAGCAGTTTTCTGTTCTTGGCTGATACATCTCTACTATAATGGTTTTAATATAGCACTGTGATGGCTAACCAACGACCAGAAACATTTCATCATCTTTTAGGAGCACACCATCAGTCCTGCTCAGCTTCCAGAATGCAGAATTAATAAGAAAGAAAGTCTGAATAAAAACACATCTCTTCTTTCCTCGTCCTCACTGAAAGGAAATCATGAATACGATTACTTTTGTCTTTCTAAACCACCTTGACTGAATAAGAAGAGTCTGTTCCCAAACCAAGACATTGTGATTCACAGCTAAGTGCCTTGGGATGCTGCAATGCTTTGCACACAGGTTTCCCAGTTCATATTTGTGTTTGTGCTTCAGGATTTTCAGTTCATGATTAACAGCTCTTTTTTCCACGCAAGCACAAATGGGTCAAGGTTTATTTTCCAGCTGTATCACACTGTTTTCTGCTGAGTATCTGAAGCAATAGAAACTCCTAAGAAGTTTATGTAGAGTTTTTAGAATATTTAGAGTAACAGAGACTTCAAAATGTTTTACTGTCTTCATTCTGCACAACCTTTTCTTATCAATTTAGATTTTAACGGAGTATTTCTGCCTTGAGATGTACTATACTGGCAGGCATTACCCACAAACAAGAATAAAAGCTATACAAAGAATCTTTGAAAAGGATGTGTATGTGTGTTCCTTCTTAAAGAAATACAGTGGACAAGTTGATGGGGTCTGAAGGGAGCTATTTGCAACATTTCAATTGCTTGGTGAAGCTTCTGTATAACAAAGTACTTGAGCACCTCTTGAATAACTTTTAGTGCTCAAGTGATGTCCCTCTGGGTAGTGAGATCGTTTCTGTTCAACAGAAAACACCTCTTTAACTGCTTGATCCTCCGTGCCTTTCCACAGCACAGGAATATATCATGAAGGCCAAAGGATAGCAATGGATAACGAGAACAAATCAGGAAACTGAAATGAGCTGTATGGGATCTCTTTGTTTCTATCTGCTCCCAGTAGTGCTGATCTAAACACCTAGAGCTGAATTTCATCTCTGCCATAGGAGTGTCCAAGTATTGACCCCTTTTTCCCTAAGCTGGCAGAAAAAGCTGACAACCTCCTCACTCAGGATGAGAAGTACTTAGCCTTGTACATGTTTTGCCAATATTGATTACGGGAGGATGTCTCCACATTCCTGCCATAGCTTTACTCCAGTTGTGACATTCCATCCAAGTGAGGCTCATTTTTAACCAAATACATGTTTCCTCAGGAAAAGCCCTATTGTTTCTCAAGAAAAAGCTTCCCCCACACACACCTTTTCCCATACCTCCTCATTCTAAATAACATGTTATTTCTTTTACTGCTTTGCGTCTTGAAAGAAGCAGCTCAAACACAGAGAGACACAAAAGTGAGTTTTACTAAAACACCCAAATGCCTGTCCCCAGACCTCTTCCTTCTCTACCCTCTCACTACTACTGGCTTCTGCAGCTCATGTCCTAAACCCATCACCCAGCTACGTGGTGATGCCACCCATGACCTCCATCTACGGGTGCCAAGCGTCGATGCCCCCGGATTGCGTCTCCATCCCTTTTACACTGCATTTCCCACTTGCTTCCTCCTGTAATGCCTACAAATCCCGGTGCCTACACTGAGGTGCTGGCGCTGGGACGCAGGCAGCACCCGGGTGACCGGCAGAGGGGGTCAGACTGCAATAAATCTCAGGAGGATGGTGGCTTTTGGAGGCAGTTTAAGGTATGTCTTTTATTTCCCTGTAATAACACCACAGATTCAGACTCCCAGCCACACACTTCAGCCCGATGCAGGTCGTACCTTCCCCATCCTGGGCAGCCAGGGATCAATTCACCCCTAAGCATAAATTACAACATGTATTTTCCGACCATGTTTTCATTTTGTTTGTAATTTACACCATTATTTAAGTTACTGCTGCATTTAGCCTTTGGAATCAGAAGAGGTTTCAATGCTATCTCTGTTTTATGGTTTAATAGAGAAGTAGCTCAAATGGCTGATAATGAGATATAGTTATGCTTTGGATGAGATCCAATATTACACTGATATGTATTGGGTAAGGACCTTGGAATACATTTGCAAAAGGGACAGGAGGGGTTTGGCACAGTTTATACCTGAATTCGTGTAGCATCTGAATGGGCATTCATTAGAAATGTATCTCAATGGAAAAAGTCATACTTTGTAGGGGAAATCTTTGCAAATACAGGTATTCTTAAACCTTTACAGGGCTCATCAGTCTGGTCCAGCTGAGGAACTGGCCCAGGCTGCTTTCCACCAGCAACCACTGCTCCAGTACAGTGTAACTCAGCCTCAGAAAGCTCTGCTCCCTTTCCTTGGTCCTTTTGTTTCTCCTTCATTCTTGTCAGCCCCTTTGCCTTCCTTTCCCAAGAAGTTGGTTCTTCTCTTGGGCTTTCCCTCACATTCACCCAGTGTATTTTGAACATACCTGTCCCTGCCCATGGCACATCATTTTCCAATTAGCAGGAATGTTTTCCGTACATGTAAAATGCAAATCAGATGGTAGCTTCTCTCAGCTGCCAACTGTGGTCCCAGAGGGCATCACATACTGCCTGATGTCAGTTCGTTTCATAGGAAAGACCATTGTTTTGCCTGGGAAAAGTCCTTTTTGATGCAGAAAAATGGGCCTGGCCACAAAGGAGACGGTTACAGATCCCAGATTCCCAACCTATCTCAGCCCTGAAGGTCAGAGCATCTGAATGGAGGCTGAAATAAATGACATGGGGCTCTGCTTCTTCCAGGAAGCGATTCCCGATCATACAGCCACAGTCCCCTTCCTCACTTGAACAGCCTCTCTCCTCCACCCATGACCCTCCTGGCTCCTCTTTGTCTATCCATGTCTTCTTTCCTCTTTCTGCAGAACAATTTGGACCTTCAGCATCATCAGTCTCCTCTAGAAGCACCGTGCTGGGGCTTGACTGTTGGCTCGGAGGAGGCAGAGCCATGGAGCATGGCCCATCTCCCACAGAACATGGTCTGGGAGAGCTTCTGCTGCTCTTCACCCTAATGGGGAAGCCAAAAGGAAATGGGAAGATTCCCGACAAAGGAATGGAAATAGACAAGCTGCAGGTGAACAAAGGAAGGAAAGGGAAGCCGTGTACAAGCCAGCAATTGAGTGGTTCTACTCAGTAATCAATTTGTCAGTTTGATTTTAAGACACAGCAGAAGAGATCGATAATTCTTTCCAGCAGCATAATGGACATCGAGGGCTTGGAGCGTTTTGATCATCAAAGTCCTTATTACAGGGATCAGTCCAGTGCTTACTCAGCAAGTGGGGGTGCTTCTGCATCTGGCATGTCAGAGATGGGCAGGGAAAGAGAGCAGAGCAGGGAAAGGTGGAAAAACGTGTCCTAAAATGACACTTGGACAGACTGCTCAGAAAGATGTGGGGAAGGGAATGCTCACAGACAGACCCCTGTGGGACTGAAAACTGACAGCATGACCCAAAAGCAGAGGGGAGTTTTGTCAATGCTCTTATTTCCTAAGGAGGCATTGTTCATCTTTGTTCTCCTGTGGAGATCCAGACTGAGCGATTCCTGCTCGCACAGGAGTCAATGAGTCCCTTTATCTGTAGTGCACTTGGGCAAATAGAGAGTGCTTAGTGGGTATATAACGGCACGGAATCCAAACGTTGCCATTTATCACCTGCTTTGTACTGAATTAAATCACTACATGAAATGCACTGAAGAATCAAACCTTTATTGTTTTGGTGGTGAAAGGATTGGGTCCCAGAATTACATCAGTTGTTTTCTCTAAACAGCTATTAGCCTCCTCCATTATATCAACAGAACTGGTTTCCATCCTCTGGCTCATTTATTCCAAACCAGCATTATTGAAGTGAATGGGGTCTAGGCCCTGGATATTACAAGAGCTGTTGGTCTACTCATAAATTACAAGTTGTCAAGGATTTTAATGGAAACCCTCAGAGTGCTGTAAATCTGTGCAGTTCTGCCTGCATCCCCTCCCTCATTTCCATCACAATATCACTCCGGTGGGACTGCAGCGTGCAGCATGTGCCAGGCAGCCTAGATTGGTGGGACACAGGGGAAGGAAGGGGGGGAATAAAGCTGGAGATGGGCTGGGGGGTTCAGAACAGTTGGCACTGCAGAAGCATCTGCTGGGTGGCCGGGTTTGGAGTCACCTGGCTTATTCAGCGTGGCAAGGGGAAAGGGTTATTCATCGGGGGGGGGGGGGGGCTGGAGAGGGGAGTGACAGAGCCAGGGATGCTTGTGGAATAGGGACGGATGTATTGCAGTTTACATGTCGCTCCGTTGGTCTGTGAAGCAGTAAATCTCAGCAAGTAGAGGGTTTTGTTGGGTTTTGTTAGGTTTTGATCACATTCTAAGTTCTGCATAGACCATCTCTTGCTGTTAGGCAAAGATTTTCCTTTTTAAACTTCCTAGCCAGTCCAAACTACGTTGAGGGAACATTGGACACTGTGTCCTGATCCAAACAGCAATGTTTCTGTAGCTCACTGGATCTGGCCAGAAACAGGGTTACTACAGATACGCCCCTTGACTTAGTTGCCTCCCAACTCATAGCACAGCACATGCTGCATGCAACACTAAAGCCTTTTAGGAGCTCACTCATCCTCCTCTGCTGGCTGTAGGATATTATGGAATATATTGTGATCAGAACAGCCATGCTTGTGCCACCCCACCAGGGAAGCAGACAGGACTGCACAGGGGTCTGTTTAAGAGCCCATGCGGACCCTCTGCCTTCTGAGGCACCAGAGGTCATGAAAACTTGGGTGCAAGATCAGTTTAGGCTTAAATGAAGGCTTGCACCCTGCTTTAGCATGGAATAGAAGTAAAAGATTACACTGGTGATAGAGCTTCTACCAGCTTCAGAGCACCCAGGGCTTGTAGTCTTATAGAAAATACTAGTCTGGCACTGAGAGTCTCAAATACAGCAAAGCCATCAGCAGCACAGATCCTAAATTAATGATGTTAAACTGTTAAACATAGTCCCTTTCACATTACAACCTCATGTGACAAGCTCTGAAGAATGAGGCCTTACAAGACTTATGTTCTAATTAAATATCACCCCTGTGTTACAGACAGGGAAACAGTTATGCAGCCATGAAGGAATTTGGCCAAAGTCAGTCCGAAAAATCTGTGGCATAATCCCCCTTTCCCTCGCCAGATTTAACATTCATTTTGAGAAAGGCTGAACAGCAGAACTGAGCCAGGATGGAGGAAAAATGGACGGCTGCCAAAAGGGATTGATGCCCTTCAGGCTCCAGGGAGTTTTTAACCCTTCGCAATGGTGTTCCCGGCCTGTGAAACCTGGTGGGGTTCATCAGGCTGTACTTCTCCTCTACTGATCCATAAGACATTCGCCAGTGGGAGCAGCTGCTTCGAGAGCGAGCTGATAACTGGAGCCCTGAGGCACTTACATCTGGACGTCTCGTCCCCTGCCTGCTTCCCTTCCCCACGTGCAGGATGAGACTCGAATATTGCCTGTGCTTTTATAACGTGTATTCCTCTGGGGCCTTGCTCCTGATTACGGCATCTAAATGCAAGCAGAAACAAACAGTGACAATGAGAAGGACAAACAAAGGTGGTCAGCCTGCAGGTTCCGACCGCTTTGTACACTGCATTTGGTTCCATTTCGTAAGAAGCTGCAGTTTCAGGAGCCACAGAGTGTGCTTAATTCCTTTTTTAATAACAGATATAACATTTTTGAGAGCAGCTGCTCCACATGTTATGTAGCACAGCCGAGAGCCATATGGATTTTTAATTCCCAGGAGTTATTACGTAGTTGTAGCAGCACAGACGAACCCACGCTTGCCTTAATGGAGTCATTAGACTTGACAATCCTTCCTTAAAAAGGGCTATTGTTTGGCTAGATCAGATCCAAAAAACATAGGAAAGGTTGGAAAGATGGGTTCTTCATCTTATAAAACAGAGAACATCGGGGGGTTTAGGCAGCTCAGTGGTTTCTCTGCCTTCAGGAAATTGCTTCTCTGTTAGTACAAAATGATTTTAGTGACCTCGGTTCTGTCCTTTCTGAAGTACAAATCCAAAATGTGCCTGGAGATGTTGGCACTGCTTTACACTGGTGGGGTTTTAACGAATGGGGACACTCAGCCTCTCTTGCAATGCTCTGAAAGGCACAAATCCTCCACAAATACTCGAGTTACAGCCCTCAAACGCATCTTGGAAGAGACATTCACTTGGAAAGAGCTATTAAATCATATTTCTTAGGGAACTGTTATAAGATAACCATGAGATTCTTGCCCTTGAGCCTAAAACACGTGGTCCAACAAGAAACAGGATAAAGCAGATGCAGGATCCTGAATGCAAACGTCTTTAATCCCAGTAAAACACTAAACCACCCAAACAATCCTTGTGTTGAGAAGCAGCAGAAGAGAAAAACAAGCTGCTTTAACGCCAAGGCTGCATCTCCCTGTACATCACTTGAATGCATTGCAATGAGTACACTACAGATTGCTCAAATAAATCTGAGGCACTCCCTGGATCTTTAGTTCTATGGAAAATGTTGGAAACCCCTTAACCTTCTGGCACGGATGGGGACTGTAAAAATGGAAAATGAATGCTAGTAAATCTGCTGCTGGCTGCCATGGGAATGGAGCAGGTTCCTTTAAAGGACCCACGATCACAGAAAGCAAAGGGGATCCAAGCTTTTTTGTGTGCGTGTCGAACAATTAGCTTCCACCAACCTGCTCCATTGCTCGCCGCCGCGGTCTGTTTCCATGGCAGCAGGAACTGAATCCCTACAAGTGTTGCGGATCCTGGATGTAAATGGCGCTGCCCATTGTGTCAGCAGCACTCGCAGAGCTGGGAGGCTCATTCCAGCTTCGCAGAGCCGGTCATTTCCTTGTGTTATTATCCAGGTTGGATCAGTGTTGTGGTGCTGTACAGGTGTAAGACAAGGTTGTTGCTGTTAGCCCAGAGCTCGGGTGGCATGGGCACCCAGCTGCACAGGGGCATGGAATCCTGGAATGGTTTGGGATGAAGGGACCTTAAAGCTCCTCCAGCTCCAACCCCTGCCACTGGCAGGGACCCCTTCCACTGGAGCAGTTTGCTCCAAGCCCCTGTGTCCAACTGGCCTTGAACACTGCCAGGGATGGGGCAGCCACAGCTTCTCTGGGCACCCTGTGCCAGCGCCTCAGCACCCTCACAGGGAAGAGCTTCTGCCTAAGAGCTCATCTCCGTCTCCCCTCTGGCAGGTTCAAGCCATTCCCCTTGCCCTGTCCCTACAGGCCCTTGTCCCAAGCCCCTCTCCAGGTTCCCTGCAGCCCCTTCAGCCACTGGAGCTGCTCTCAGGTCTCACTGGTCTCACAACAAGGGCTGCTGCCTCAACCGGAGTCCTGATGGGGAGCTCCCATCGCTGTTGCGGGATCACATTCGGCTCTACCGAGAACTCTGCTCTGGCTCTCACACACTCTCTCCTGCTGCCCCCAAACCCCAGCCCGGTGCTGCCCAGCTCCCCACGGGATCTACTGCGGAAGGGAACGGGACCCTTGCGGTGGGCCCAGGGCTGCAGCAACGGGACCCGCCTCACCTCAGAGCCGCCTCCCAGGAGCCCTCGCGCAGCCCTCATGAATATGCAAATCACCCCGTTCTCGCAGCTGTGATTGGCTGGGGCTGTTCAAACCAGGCCACGCCCCCCTTGCCGGGGCGCGGCCGTTAGCAGGCCGTTAATTTGGGGGCGGGAAAGGAGGCGCGGCAGCGCGGGCATGCGCATGCGCAACTGCGGCGCACGCGCGTGACACTGACGCGTCCTCCTGTTGCGGTAGCAACAACTCCCTCCCCCTTTGCTGTTGTTACCCAATCAGAGACTCCTCAGGCCTCTTAGCCCAATGGAGCGGCAAGATATTAATAGAGAGGCGGGGCTTAAGCCGTCGCTTTGCCCAATCAGAGAGCGGGGTTGGACGGGGTCAGCAGCTCGGCCGTCGCCTCAGCGGCTGCTGGGGCCGGGCGGAGATGGCGCCGCATCCAGGTGTCCGTCCCTGCCGGTGCCTCCGCTCTGTGGGCGCCCCCCGGCCCTGCAGGGTGCGAGCTCCGCTCGTTGCAGGTCGGTGGTTGTTGGGGGGATGGCGGCTCCTGCCAAGCCCTGTGTGCTGAGCGCAGGGGAGACCTTGGGAAAGGTGCCTTGGCAGCGGCGCTGCAGCCGCAGGTGGGTCCGTCAGCTCCTGTGGAGCCTGCTCCTGGCACAGAACGGGCCGTGCCTGGTGCCCTTGGATGGGGAAAACCAAAGGAATTGTGGTGGAGCCGATGCCTAAATGGGTAATAAATTCATATTCGTGCCGGGGTCACAGCATCGCTTCAGCTGGCACTTGAGTTGTTTGAAATCAAAAGGTCTAGTGTCCACGCGTTGTGTTTTGCTCACATTTGGCTGCCTGGCCTGGAATCCCCCACTGATGCAGTGTGCGCAGCCAGCCCTTAGCCAGAGCAGTGTTTTATTGGCCCTGGAGCGTGTCCCCTTGTTGTTGTAACACTTGCTCTTTGCGAGCGTGTGCTAGCCCTGATGTTTAATCTTTGTGAAGCAGTAGCTTGTGAGCATCAGACGTATTTCTCTCATAATGACTGAAGTTAGGCAAGAAGTCAAAACTTAATATGCCTGTGAGCTCTTGCCAGTGTTTTCTGGATTCATGCCTTGAGAGAGGAACACGAAGGAAGGCTCGAGTGGCTCCAATCCAAATAAAGCATTATTCAGAGCTGCACTCCAGGAATCGTTGTTTTCCACCACTCAGAGCTATCAATGGAGCTGGTTGTTCTCACAGTTATTTCTAGCTGGGGTGAAGCTTCTGAAACAGTAAGCACTCCTGGGTTTATGTGGTGGTCTGTTATGACTAATTGTCCAGATTATCATCTACAGCAGGCAGTTTGTAAATCATCCATCCAGGGAGCAATTGATAGCCAAGGCCTAATGGAATGGCGATTCCACATCTCCCTCTGAGCCCAAACGGAGACTTGGAAATTACAGAGCTTCCTTCTCTTAAACTGCTGTTGCTCTGTGATGCAGTACATGGAGTGGTGAGCTTCTGAGGAGCAGGAGACAGGAGTGAACAGAGTGAGTACAGCATCAACGGATCGGTTAGTGGCAATGGGAAATGAAATCAAGTACTTGTGAGTGGGCTGTATGGGTGTGATGATCCCTTTATTGTTCTTTTGGAATCAATAAGGTGCAAGCAAATGTTTGTTTATGGTGCTTTTATTTTTCTCCCTGGACTTCTTTCTCTGGAAAATCAGACACTTCCCTGGAAGCAGGGAGACCTAGAGGAAGTATTTGCTGGCTAGAAACAGAGTGGTGAAGCTCTTCCCAAAAGAATCCAACTTCTTTCTTGGTGTCTTCCTGCAGACTAAGCCCTTCTTTTAAAGCCTGACTTTCTTCTCGGCACGATTATTTTTTGGCTGTTAGATTCACATTCTGTGATTTGCATGCCCAAAGGGGCCAACTTTCAGCATCTTAAAAGCCTCTTCTGAATTCTAGGCAAAGATTAATCTGCTGGGCTGGAGGAAAGCAAGTAGTTTTCTCTGGTTGAATTTAGTGCTGGAAAAGAAATCAGAGAAAAAAAGCAGTTATCATTTAAAGCTTTTCTAAGCGCAGAGGACTGAAGGAAATTAATCTTACAATATTCTTACAATATTCTATTTGCTGTTCCAGTTACATTTTTGCAAGGTTCTTGGAGTAGTTTGAAAACCTATGCCTAGGAAATCTACGCTAGAAAGCAGTTTTAATGCAGTTCTTTCATAACTATTGTAGTGTCCCTCTGTGCCATTTCCCTCCTCGTTGTTAGGACAGTTTGTAGCCCAGTAACTGATGTAGGAAACACAAGACTTGTCTCTGTAAACTGGCCTCTGGCTGTCAGGGCACAGGCATCTTCACCACCCACGCTGAGAAGGACATGAAACCTGGGCAGGATGCGATCTGCCAGCTCTACATCTCAAGGGTAATCCCCGCATTCCTCGTTTCAAGATCGCTGCTTTGTCACTGAGCTGGTGCTTTAATATCCAGTTTAGCCTTGCCCTGACGTGGTCACTCAGCCAGAAATAGCATTCACTGGTCATTTGCTTCAGATTCATCGCTGTCAAAAGGATTCATTGCTGACAAAAGAAAAATGTCTACTTTACATGTTATTCTGTAAACTCGTGTTCAGAAATGGCTTGTAATATTTTGAGACAGAATCACCTTGACAAGAATTCAGGGCATTCAGAATGAATGAATGGAAGAAGGAAAACTTTATCCCTCATCAGTGAAAAAGCACTTAAAGGATACTCATTTTTCATGAGTCCCATTAAGCCCTATTGTCTTGTTCCAAACAAGAGTCTCACCAAAGTGGTTTTGATTGGCACTTTTAAGTAACATCCTTAATGAAGTCTGATATAAAAACTTCAATAAGCCTCCAGTTGCTTGGACTTCCAATAATTTGAGGAGCAAAACCATGATTCACTTCAGTTTATTGTTGACCTTTGGACACACTATATTTTATGGTCTAAATTTGTTTGACTTTGCATTTGACCTCATTGTTATTTTTCAGGGAATGTTCCTAGGAACGAATGAAAGTCTATGAATGACTGAAAAAAAAATATAAGAGGTGGAAGGGAGGACACTTGGAGCCTCTGGCTTGGAGAAAAGAAAGGTAGGAAATGAGCTTCTCTTTAGTGGGACATTGGGCAGACTGGCCCACAGGCTCCTTTTCTGTTGTTAATGTTTCATTTCTTCAAACATTTACCCTTGAAGTGAACTTCAAACACTCACTGAGCTGTACAGAAACCAGCTACAGCCTTAAATGAAGTGGAGAACCTGTCACTGCTTGGTGTAGTGCAGACCCAGGCTCTAGTTTGATCAGTGTTAGGGACACACACCCCAGAAAGAGACATTTACAGTACCTTTCCCAGCTCAGCACCAGATAAAACTGTGGCAGAAGTAGATCTGTCATAGCAGGGACCTCAGCTAGGCTTGTCACCTTTGCAATAGCTATTAATGAGTTACCAGTGTTGTTCATGTGTTTCAAGCAAGTTTAGAAGCAAATTGGCTTCATATCCTCTTTCCCAGCCTTTTATTCTTGGTAGACGTAAGTTTGATCTGGGGATTTATGTGCTGGTGACATCCCGTGACCCTCTGAGGATGTTTGTCTATAATGAGGGCCTTCCACTTTTTGCTACTTCAGCATCCTCTGACCTTTTGCACAATAGCTTGGTAAGTAAACAAGCCTATTAGCAGAAGTTAATGACAGTTCAATACACAGCAACCAGAGATAGAGAGAAATCCTAATGGTTCCACTGTCCAAAGCATCTTTCTCTGGAGAATCCCTAAGCACTTCATAAATACCAGTCATTCATCTTTGTAGTATCTGAGTGCCATAAATACAATTATGCGTGAAATATTTGAGCAGATTCTCTAGTAGAATGCACCATGTGTTATATTATCCTGATCAGTGCTGCATACAAGTTTTGGCACAGTTAGTACTTCAATAAATACATACCTAATTAACTTTATGTACTAGTCTGGTACTGTTTTTCATGAAGCATTATTGTGGCAAAAAGATTGTTATAAGACAGAGAAATCTTGGAAGGGGAAAAGGCCCAAGTGCAAAGATACTTTGGTTTACTTCTTTCTGAAAAGAAGTGGTGGCTTAGCTGGTGGCTGGCAAAGGTTCTGGTATGCAGTTCTGAATCATTTCAACACAGAATTAGCTCTCCTAATAAGTGCTTGTAGAATGGGGCCTGACTGGGAAAGAGGGTTATCTTCCATTGAAACTGCTGATTTCTCAGAAGTGATGGAATTGGAATGCTGATGAGATTGCAGTGAAGTGAAATTGAAACTGTTGAGCCTCATTTATTGGGTTCTTTAAAGTAATGGGATCAGTATAGGGCTGATCATATTTAGTGCCATTAAATCTTCTGTGCTTAATTAAGATGCTTTGTACATGAGGCAGTGTGACCAGGATCATGTAGAGAAGAAGGGAGGAGGCTAATACCTTTCTAACCCTGCATCTTGTTCATTCATTTACAGGGTAATGTATGCATGCATCTGACAAATTATTCCATTAACAAGAACAGAGTTAATTCTGCCAGAGAAAAAGACATTGGAAGTAAGAGGTAAAAGGAGAGAACATTTCTGAGCTACTCCCAGAGGGGGTAGTGTTTACCTTTTCTTGTACATCTTCATAGGCTCGGTGTATTTCAGAGCATTTTTTGTGTTTCCCCAAAGCGCTGCCTGACTTCTTGTTGAATAAATCAACTGAAGAAACTCAGATGAGAAACAGAGCTGGACACCAGAATTGGGAAGGAAACTCCACAGAGGGAAGTTTGTGCTCCAGCTCAGCAGCATGCATTTCAGTTTTTGTCTTGAGATAAAATGTTTGCCTACTCTTCCTAAGGACACTGATTTGTCTAACAAGATGTTATCACTCTCCAAACTTTGCCTGTAATCTTAGCTCATCATGCTGTAGCAACCCTACATCGTCACTGTATTTGTTATCTTTGTCAGCTGTGATAGGCAGATTTACAGTAGTTTACTTAGACACATATTTTCTCTTGCAGTATTTCTTGTATCTTATTTTCTTGTAAATAAACCAGCTGTAGTGCTGTGGTTGTGCAAGGCAACAACTCCTGTGAGGTGATCCATGAGTCAAGTGCAGGAGCAGGCTGCCCAGGGCAGAGATGGAGTCACCATCCCTAAAGGGCTTGGGGGCATGGGTTAGTGGTGGCCTTGGCAGTGCTGGGTTAACAGTTAGACTTGATCTTAAACAGCTTTTTTTTCTTTACACTTTGCTCCCTAAATCCTTTCTCATGCTAGGAAATGGGATTGCTCTAATGCAGTAATTGAGCAATAGAAGTTTCCAGAATGAACACAGTTATAATGATATAAAGAAGCTGTAGGCAGATTGTTGCAATATTAGGGTAGAAATACACCAGTTCAGTTAGATTTGTTATCAAAGGTTCCAGTATTCCTCCCTTTCCAGGACACCCTGAACCAGCTGTGAGCAGAGATGTGGCTGTGATACTGGCCAGATGTGGCTGCTTATAGCAGATGTTATTATCAAATTGAGGATAACGCCACATGCTGTTATGAAACATAACAATCACATCTGCTCCCCCATTACACCAGGGTAGTGCTCACTTTGAATTATGCAGGTTTGATATTATCCTGAATCACAAATCCAAGCCCCAGTTGCTTGAGGACCCTAATAAATCTCTCCTCAATCCTGCAGCATGGTCATGGATAAACTGATCTGTTGAGGGGGGTTTTCAGCCTGTGGGTTGCTATCATCAAGCTCTTTTTTACCACCCCTTTTGAGTTCTGGCTCTCGACGGGGTCTCGGAGCTGGGCGGCTGGTGGGTGGCCGGCAGAGGGGGACAGACTACACCGAATCGGTGAGAAACGGTGATTGCGCTGTCGGACACAGGCGGGGAGCGCTGCCTGCAGGAGTTCTCGCTTTGGCGGGCACCTCGCTCCAGTTCCGTGCACGCAGAAGCATTTTGGAGTTATCCATCACTCTCGGTGGGAGTTACTTGGTAACGGAAGGGGCAGGCTGTCTTTCTCAGAGCGCAGCGAGTTAATACCAGTTCCTCCTCTACTACTCCCAGCACATACAAGCTTTGCATCAATTCTGCATTCAACCTGAGGCTGTAATTTCAACCTGTGCTACTTGTTTCCCTCTTTGCAGTATATACAAAAAGCACTGGCACCACTCTAACAAGCAGAGAAAAAGGCCATTTCCCCAGCTTCAGTGACTTGTTTTTAACACAAATCGTGTTAAAACCAGAAGCAAAACTCAGGATTTCCTGTGTTACCTCTGACCTTAGATGCTGGGATCAAACCTAGTGCATCCCCTGGCCTTGCTTCACACATCTCTGTAAGGTTTATTTAACTTCCTAATGCACCATCCAGACTGTGTTCAAAACATCCAGTTGTGTAGCAATTCAGTTTATATGCACTTTGAGGCAGGTAGGTGAGGGATCTTTGAGGAAGGTCTCTCTCAGTTGTTTCTTAGCAGCCCTAGTGATAAAGGCAGCAGGGCCAGATACAGAGCCCCATTAGTGGACTCTGCTTTCTGCAAAAGATCCCATGCAAAGGGATAAACTGGGCTCACAGTTCCTCCTGTAGCATTTCCTGGAGCCATGCAGTGCAAACACAGTTCAACTCTCAGCAAGTTTGGGTGCTTGAAATTACCCAAGAGATCATGCAGTATGTGGTTATCACCCTGCAACAGATCAGAGTCAGATTAGAGAGTAGCAAACACTCAAGGGACTAGATTCACAGTATTTTTCCTGTTCTTCAATTCCAGTCCTCTGAAAACTGCTCTCCTTATGAAAATATTAAATAGCTTATGGCAGCAGCATGCTAGTTACTTGATGCAAAGAAACAAAATGTGTCCTAAGTTACAAACACTGGGAGATACAAATAAATGTGAAGACAAAGGAAGAAGAGGAACTAGGTGATAATATCTGTCTGTCCAAGACCTCTCACCTTTCAGAAGTATCCTACAAATAGTAGCTGCTAACCAGCGAGGAGTAAGTCACATTCAGTGAAAAATGGGGCCTTTCAGTGGGCCCCATCACTTGAGAGATTTGATTTCCCCTGTACTAAGGAGAGATATGAGTTAGTCACCAGGTGATTTTTTTCTTCCTCTGACTCAGCATTTTATCCTCAGTATCCCATTTATAGATGTAAAGGCAAAACATTGAAAGAGCAAAAGATTCCTAATTTGAATTTGAAGGTGATTTAGGAATGAAGGATTGAGCACTGCAAAGAGGGGGATCGATTGGCTTTGTGTGCTAGATGATTAATCAGCAATATTCAGCTTATGATAACTGCCTCAGAAATGATGCATTGACTTGATAGAAGGGAAAACCTTGACAAAGAAGGTCCTAGCTTATGCTTTGGCCATTGTGTTGTTACTGGAGACAATCCAGGATAAATCTACTGCCAGGCAGAGGATTTTCAGGATCTGTTTGCCAAGTTGTTCTGCAGTCCCAGGCACAGGTTTAACAGCATCTGTGGGAGGAGCACCACAGGCTGGTGGGGAAGGGTGGGCTTTCTCCTATTGGAAGGTTTTGGTGTGCTTCCAAAGCAGGTATCTGTTCTGCTACCTTACTGTGGGCAAAAGTTCTCTGGACTGAACCTCAGCTGACCAGCTGAGTGCTGGCACCACATCTTGAACATTTTCTCTTCACAGAGCAAGATATATGTAAAACAAACCTGTACATTTATGACTCTCCATAAGACTGTAAAGAGCAGAAATAGAAATCTATTACTGTGGTATAGCAAAGCCTGGCTTCTCAGGCTCTTGAAGAGTAAAGGACTGAAAGGAAGAGGCTGAAAAGAGGAACACCAACTGTGATCTTGTAAGTCTGGGGGCTTGGCAGGGCTCCTTGTTTGTATTGCTCCATCGAGAGTCATTAATTTTGCACTTAACCCTGTTAATAGAACTCTCAGCTATGCACAGATATGCCCTTCCTTGGCCAAGTTTTTATCTGATTAGAGGCAAAAAGACTCTAATGTGTCTGACAAATTGCTTCATTGAATGAAGTGGTTTCTTTTTCAAGCTCCATTTCAGAAAATGTACATTTATATACTATATGTTAACAAAATTGTAGTTAAGGAGGCACTATCCCTCCTCCAGTATGGACTTGGAGCATCTACCTCAAAAACTGCAGTATTTGAGGCTGTTGTTTCAGGTTTTCTCTACCAGCAATAGTACAAAGACAGTTCAGTTCCTCATTCTGCCTGATCTTCATCCTTGTGTCCGGACCTTACCACTGTTAACTATGCTGGTTCAGTGTTCAGCACTCAGAGTTTGGACTTCACCTGTGGAATTCCATTAGAAAAATGCTGCTGTTTTGTTATTTTCAACAAAAGCACTTTCCAGATGTGCTACAGCCCCTACTCCATCAGTGAAGGGCAGAGGGGGCAGTCTCTGCGGGAAGATGGGCAATGAGCAGCTGACTGAGGAAGGGATGAAAAGCTCTGGCCCCACAGAACAGCAACATGAAACAAAATTTAAAGGTAACCAGTGGCTCATCCTCACTGGGTTTAGCTCATTTTTGACAGTAGCCAGTTTTGTTACAGACTAAGCTGATGCTCTTTGTTTCACCAAGCTCAGCATGTTGCACCAAGGATGAATTCAGTCCATGCCATCAATCTGATTTTGAATCAGCTCCTGATACAAGCTATTTCCCCTCTGAGACAGATGTGTCTGTGTTAAGGAAGGTAACTCCAATGCAGGACACCAATAAAACATTAATCTTTTCATAGATTTTAATAGAAGTTTTTTGGTAGAAACTAAGCTACCTGCTCCAAGACTCTTCCTACGTAAAAATACAGTACAGTGTACATCACTGGAAACTAACCTGACATGCAGTTGATCAGGCCACAGCAGGAGAAAGATTAGAGTCTGGGAAGGGGTCAGGAATAGCCTCCTTGCTCTTTTTCCAGGATCTGGGTTCTCAGTGCAGAGACTTGCTACTGCAGGATACCCACAGAGTGGAAGGCAGAGGGATCTCTGAGCTGAAAGGAGATCTGCTTGCAGGTGGAAGGAGAAATTCCAGGTTTTCCAGAGACCTAAATACTGGAAGAATAATTGAGGAGAAAGGATAAGCACCCATTCAGCACAATAGCGAAAGGTTGAGGGGCAGCAGTCAAGGCAGGTAGTACCTCTTTCTTTTATCCTTCATCCCTTATTTCTGGAACCAAACATACATAGAGAAATTAAGTGTGGCATGTTAGAAACGCTGTACAAAACATCGCTATGGACTGGGACAATATGGTTATAGCAGCAGTATTGTGGATAGGTAAACTGAGGCACCGAGCTTGTTGCTAGTCAGCACAGATGATAATCTGTGTCACTGGACCTCTCTGGAACTTCCTCTGTAACCCACAGATCAAGGAACAGAATCAAACCTTGTTCTCTCCAATATGGAGTAGATCATTTTGTCAGCTTGGTTTTGGCTCCTGCTTGGCACAGGCTTGGAACTAACATTAAAGCCAGCCTTTAGGGCCTTCAGGTCTTACTGACTCTAGGATACAGCGTGAGAGCCCATATCATCCCTTTCTACAGCCTTGTTCTGACCATCTCTGAGTGGACAGTGAACCTCCATGGTGCTGTCAGATATATTCAAGCCATCCATCACCTCTTGCCTTTTAATTCTGAAAAGTGAATTTCATTGAGCTATTATTTTTCTACATCATCTATTTCAATAGCAGCATTGCAATAAAAGAGGATCTATGTCTCCAAAAGGAAGCTGCTGAGCTGTACAGTTCTTCATTGTCCTGTGGCAATATGGAAAAAGAAAAGGATACAGAGCTAATGCTTTCCTTTTGGGGGTTTAATTGTGGTACAGTTTAGGTATTGAAATGGCTGGATTTATACCTGTAGTCATGAAACAGCAAAGCAAAGCAGCTCATTTCAGGTTTTGAAAGTTCTTCAGTGCTCTGTGTGTGGCCCTAACCAGGGAGTTAGGACAGGATGGGTTATCCTTGGGAGCAGCTGCACTGGGAATGCACCTTTTATTTAACAGTTTAAATGGAA